TTCATAATCGTTATAATCGTCTTATAATCGTTGTAATCGTTTTATAATCGTTTGTAATCGCTGGTGTAACCACTCAGCAAGCTTTCTTTTCTCGACTTCTGCCAAGTAGAGCGACTAAGTTATACTAAGTAAACACGTTTGTTGTTTCGAAGAGACACAGTAATCACTGAGTTATAGAAGTTTCACTTGTTTTCAAGTTATAATCGCTGTTTTCACAAAAAAAAGTTGTACAAAATTTTGTGTGACTGCAGAATTGCGATAATATGTTCATTATTCTTTGCTTCTAATTTTTGTATATGTTCATCATTATTTGCTTCTAATTTTTGTCATTGAATCGGTGTTATCTTGAATACTCTTCACGCAATCCGATTTATACTTAAGAGCTGGGATAAAAAAATATAAGTGTTGATATAACGAAGACTCTCCCTAACATTAACCGAATGAGGTTGGACCTTATGAATCACTACAGGCTACATTCTTGACGGGTTGAGAACGGACAAGCTATTATGTTTTGACACGGAATACGCGCCATGATTAGTATTCCTTTACAGTCACAATGTAATGCACGCGTGCTGATATGTGAAAATATTTGTAATTCAACGTACACGACTTATAATGGCATTCATGTTTGCATCATTATCCAAATTCAGTAATAGTAATATTGTTTGACCAATTTAGAATAACATCGGGTTGGAACAAGTCGAGCCTGAGGGAAACTTTCCATTATCAATCTTAGGAAGTTACAACCGAATGTTTGATTTCTGAAGAATTTTGGAAAGCAGTTGATACGTGAAATTTACGGAAACCATTTTATTAACTACCAGAATAAATATAAAAAAAATCAGAACGCTGGGCAACTATCATAGATCATTATAGCAAAAATGACAGTACTATACAGGTCGACGAGTCTGTAGATCCAAATACATAGTTAGTCATATGCACGCTATCTACATGCTAATGCAGGTAAGCAAAGATGAGCTAATGTTGTGAGACATGCAAGTCAAAAGCAAGCTTTACTAACATGTATCAAATGTGTAATAGAAATAGCACACTAGAGGCTCCAATAGAAGAAGTATTAGACCAAAATTGATTGTTCATGTCCATCTATTCGACTCCGGAAGCGAGAATGTCCAAACACGTCACGACACCCATAACTCCGCTAATGAAATAACTAGCTTCGCTACTCTTAGACCCAACAGTACATGTGATTTTAGTCTTGACGTTTTCTAACTTATTAACGTAGTTAAACATGTCCTCATCCGTACGATCATCACCAATTGCAAGAATAAAATCAGGCACACCGGCAAGAAGAATACGGGAGACGGCAACCGCTTTATTGATATTACGAGGCATAACCTTTTAATCATAATTGGATGTGGGGAAAGACGTATATATTGCAAAGAATAGTCGGTTAATAGAAGCGAGAAACGTAAATCTTGCTAAAAAAGCGCATTTATTTACCTCGATCTTTTTATTCCCGACAACCGCATGAATGGTATATGTTGTTCCCAGCGCATCTTCTATGTGATTTTGACATTCTGCTGCTTGCCATGCTCTATGTACAAGACATATAAATTAGTCATATACATTTAATGAATTCCTGTACTATCACCTGACATTATTTGATAAACTAATCATCTGGGTTCCATCGTTTTGACTTACCCATAGTTTTGATTGTCGGCGGAACGATAATGCTAAAAACGCGATACAATGTAAGTCACCATGGCAAACACAAAAACGCCCTATCAGATTGAACACATACCCATACAATCGATACATCCTTCATTTCTATATATGATCCAGGAGTTCTCTCCGCATAGTAGTCGAAGATCTGTTTGTTTACGACATTGTGCCATTCGTAAGTCATAATCTGTATTAACTCTTGCAGCAATGACAGCTTACCTCTTGGACCTGATCTCTCCAT